TGTGCTTATATTCCACGGTTTGACTCAGATTTCCTCCTGCTGCTCCTTACACCCTCAGTCTATGGTATGTGTCCTTGTAGGCAGCCTCAGTACCAAAATCAGTAGAGCCCTCCTATTTTACTGCCACGTTAAGCAGTTTCTTTCATTGTCACAAAAACCAGGCAGCCCTTGACAGGTAGAAATTGGAGGAGAACAAAATGGGAGAGAGGAGAAGCGGGTCTTTCCCTCCAGAGAAAGTTGCTGCTTCTTGCACAGTCTTGATGGAAAGCATCCTCACAATGGTTTCGTGCCTGGGGCGAGTTGGCTCTTGAATATGGATGCTAATGAGCTCCAGAATGGCTTCCAGCCTGGCTGGATATCAGAGCTGGGGCAAAAAACCTTCTCCCAAGAGCTGGTTCACAGTGGTGAAAAAAGTGTCATTGAAATAAAGTAACTCACAGAATGGCTTGAATAGTAAACTGCTAAAGCAGGAATTAGTGAACTGAAAGATATTACAGAGAGATTAAAAAAGAAACAAGATAGAAGTTGAAATCTGGAAGGTAAATTGAGAAGATCTAATAGGAGAAATATAAAATTATGGAGAAAATATAAAAAAAAAGAGCAGAGGCAATATTCAAAAAGCTCATGGTTGAGAATTTTCCGGAATTAAATATCTTCTCAGATTGAAGGAATAAAACTAATTTCCACCCACGGTAAATAAAAAGGAATCCTCAGTGTTATGTCTTAGTAGAACTTCATACCAACATCAACAAAACAACAACAATAAAAATTTTAAAAGCTACCAATGAGAAAAGACATTTTCTTGTAAGGAAATGATACAAGGTAGACTTCTCCTCAACAAGAGAAGTCAGAAAAACAAATGGAATATTATCTCCAAACTGCCAAGGGAAAGTAACAGTCAATCTAGAATTCTGTACCCATTAAAGCTATCATCCAAGATTAAAGGCAAAAATAAACGTTTTTGTGGCCCAAAGACTGGATGAGTTCATCCCTCACGGACCACTGTTAAAAGAATTACTAAAAATGTACTTCAGCAGAAGGAAATCAAATCCAGAAGGAAAGTATGGACTTCAAAAAGCAAAGAAGTTAGTATGTTGGTTTATTTACATAAGTATAGATCAACTTATGTATAGATTACATAAGTAATGACAACTAATAGAGGCTTAGAAACAAGGTGAAATTAAAATCTAGGCAGTAACATGAAAGATGAAAGAAGGCATTCTAAGATCCTTTTATTTTCCAGAGTGGGACATAAATATTGATTAACTTACATATTAAAAACTTAGGCATAACTGCTAAAAGAACAGAAATAAACTATCACTTCTAAACCAGTAGAGGGAGAAAACAGGTATTAAAGAAAGCAACCAACCTGACAGAAAACAAGAATGAAGAAAAGAAAAGAATTTATTTCTATAATAAATAGAAAACATAAAATAGGTTATGTATATGTCTATGTATGAATGATGGCAAAAATAAGTTCAGATATGTCAGTTTTTACAATAAACATTTATCTCACATCTTAATAACTATGGGGTTAGATTTTATTTTAATCAGCCATGTACCACTAATGAAATATACTTAACATAATGCAAAGTTTAGAAGTCCTACTCTGCCTTGTGGATTTTATTATTCAAAAATATCAGGGTGAGAAGGGAGCATTGAAAATGACTGATTTCTTGCCTACGAGACTGAGGATAGCATAACTAAGGATGATAGATGGGGAAGTCCCACCTTGGAAATGAAAATAAGTTAACATTTATTGACTTCTTCCTAAGTCTTAATTGGGGCCTGCCAAGGAAATTAAGAAGGAGCCAGAGAGAAGAACTTGTACCATTTGTCATGGAAACCCAGACACAGGAGGAGAACTTGGAGTGTGTAATGGGTAGAAGCCCCTCCCCCCAAAAAATAAAAGGAGAATTCAAGAAGAAAAGATAGGAGACGTCAAGGATAAAGAAGATGGTGAGCAGTATCTTTGCTGGAGAATGATTGAGCAGAATGAGTATTGAGTATCAAGAAGAAGTTTTTAGGTCCAAGAGGCCAGATTAGTATGGTATTGGGCCTACTCTTAAGAGATTAAGGAAGAAAAAAAAGAAGTAGAAATTGAGGGAGCAAGAAGAGATTTCTGTCTCAGGAAGTTCAGCACCTTTGGGAAGACAGAATGGGTGGTAAAGAGAAATGCAGGCTCAAGAGAAGTTACCTTGGAATAGGCAATAACCACTTTTAAGAATAAAACCTTAGTTATCTAGAGTCCTCGGGGAAATGAGTTTCCTGGGTAACCATCTTTTCTAGGTGGCCTAATGCTGCTTTTTAAAATACCAAAGCTAATTTTGACTATTTTTAAATGCCCAAAGTCACCAGCAATAGCAGTGTCGGGGTGGTCTCTTGCCTTTTACTATGAATGATAGTCTTTCATGACTTAAATGGACGTGGTTTAACCTTGTTTGATCTCTCAGTTACTGCCCTGTGAGTGCAGCACCTGTTGAGGCCTGGAGGACTCTTTGCCTCTGGACTAGCCACAGAGAACTTTCTTGAGTTCTTTTGTCTGTTCTTTGACATCTTGGAGTATCTTTCTTTTACTGTTGGCTGTCTTTTCTTGTAACTTGCCATAATTTTTTGTATCTAGTCTGCTCATGCGCTGGGTTGAGGCGTGTCCAGCCCTGACAGATGAATCTACTCAGTATATGGACTCAGCCAGGTTTCTGAACTTGAGAGGCTAAGGTCCAGACCCTGGTCAGTCACCAGGATAATCACCGTCCCCCTGATATTGCTGGTAGCCTTTCCCTGTGTGGTTCTGGCTCAGAGAGACAATCTCCTATAAAACCAAGAGTAACCTGGGGTAAGCGTCTGAGAGACTTTCCTAATATAGTACATGAGCTGTGCTCTGTGGATTTGGGAACAGTTATCTGGCTCTTTAGCCAGAGACCTCTTTGGAGTCCTCTCTCTTTTATTTCCTGATCTCAGTGGGAGGAGTACCCTCAGAGAGGGCTGACTGGCTGCGTCTTCCCTCGAGGGTAACTCAGCGATTTCTGCCTCACAACTGATTAATTCTCTCAATACAGATAGAAAAAGAGGATGTCTCTCCTACCCACCTACCTCCCATCCTTCAGGAGGAAAGGCATTTATTTTATATTAACTAAAACAGCCTCTCCTCTGCCACCTCTAGTGTGTGCTACACTTCTCTCGCTACCTGGGCTGGACGAGTAGACTTGAGTCAAGGACTTTCCAGTCAGGTGCTGTGTAATGACGTTTCGGTCAACGACAGATCACATACGCGACGGTGGTCCCGTAAGATCAGTACCATATACCCTAGGTGTGTTGTAGGCTGTACCATCTAGATTTGTGTAAGTACTCTCTGTGATGTTCGCACAACGATGAAATCACCTAACGAAACATTTCTCAGAACGTATAGCCATCGTTGCGCGATGCACGACTGTACAACCTGGAGTCTTTACAATCCTGAGATCCTTTGCTACAGACCTTGTTCTTAAATCTAACAACGGGGCTAGGGTGCAGGTCTCTTTTTAACGTGCGAGTCAGTAAATCCATAAGGGCTTTTAAGAGAAGAAATGGGAGAGGTTTCTGGTGTTCTAAATTCCATAACTCACTGTTCTGAAGGCAAGGCAGAGACGTTCCAAGTGGGGAAAGGCCACTAGTAATAGCAAGGTGGTGTGATTTCCAAGGGGCCTTCCTTACGGGGTGACATTTATTATCTTGTTGATTTACCAGCATCTGGCTTTTAGCCTTTCAGGTTCAGAAACTGGTTTAATCAACATACAAAGAGCAGATTCATTATCAGAGCTGGGCTCACCTGAACCAAACTTACAACACTGATTTGCGAACCCAAGTGCCAGGTGACGTTTATACAGAGAAATATAACTGACTGATATCCTTAAAGTACAAATGACTAGCTCATTCTTTCCTGTAGGAAAGGCAGGCAGGGCGGGCAGATCACACAGGGCGGCAGATCACAGTCAGGTCATTTGATCATGAAATCAGAATAAAAGTAAATCATATATGTTTAATGGCATAGGCTAAGAGAGCAGTCCATCCACACTAAATACTGTCCTAAAGTGGCACTCAATTTCTTTGAAGTCTGTCAGTTAAGACTCTCTCTGCCCTGATCACTATTTGGGTAAACACCCACCAATGTTTTGTCTCATTTTTTAAAGCCTCAAGGCTAACCCTGGCCCACACCCACCCAGATCACCTCCCACATTAGTCTGTCTCTAGATTTTAATACTTTCAATCAGCTTATAGCATAGTCATTCTTTTCCTTTGAATTTACAGTTTAAATCTCAATGAGAGATCTTGTTTGCAAACTCTTGGGGGATCCCTCACTGTACCCACATTGGCCAAGACAAGAGGGTGGCACTGATAAGGGGAGCTGGGGCAGCTCACCCTCACCAAGGCTCATCGGTCACTTACCAAAAATCCCCTTCACATTTTTACTATATTCCTATGCTATGTATACTGTTATTGATATTTCTCTTTCAATCAACTCACTTTTTAGAAACAAATTTATTTTAAAAGGAGATTTACCCCTACCATAAATGGAAAATGACTATCCTGTGTCCTAAAAGGAATACGGCCCTAAAAATAAGCATATTGAAAACAAAAGCTCTTCTTTTTCCCCATGTACCCTTTTGGCTGGACACTGCTTGCCATGGAAAGCTCTGAGCCTGAGCGGATCCGTGTTAAACATACACTAGCACCAAACTGAGGGTCTCCTTGACATCATCAAAAACCTCAAGAGGACTGAGCAGCGGAACAATTGAGGAGGTTATTTAATGTACGTGGTACCTTGTCCATCTAACACCTAAACAGTAATCTCACGTGAGGCGTCCCACATTTTGGGGAAAGTGACCTATGCTTTTTGTGAGTTTAAGGGTGTTTGAGAACTGTTCACACAGCTGTAGTGATGCCTCCTTCCCAGCGTCGCCCAACTCCAGACTCTGCCTGATGCCACGCTGACTGGCTCATTCCTGCTTCTCCCTGCACAGGTACACACTGGCGGCTCAGGACCTGGTGATGCGTGCCCGCGGCGTCCTGAAGGACAGAGGATGGCGGATATCCAATGACCGACTGGGCTCAGGAGACGACATCTCTGTATATGTCATTCCTTTAATACATGGAAACAAGCTGTCATGAAAACGGCCCAGGGCATTGGGAGGACAGCAAGGGAGAAAGCTGGGATGCTTCTTGGCACGGCAGGCTGGGAAGGGCCCCCGCAGAGTTCCAGGGGACGCCACCTCTTCCCAGCCCAGGTGGGGAGTCTGCTGCCAAGAGGCCTCGGGCTGTGCTTCAAGAGGACTCTTAGGCTTCAGTTTCCTCTTTGCTAACAGGCCTAGATACTCAACAAGAGCGCAACAGGAAGGCTGCTACTGAGTGCTGTATTTCCTTTGGTTCCTTTCATAGGCCTCCTCGGTGGTCGCTGCCTGTTTCGGGCACATACATCATATTTATTTTGTCTAGAGTAGCTGGGGCAGCCGTTTTCAGGTATAACTGGCAGAAGACTCTTCGGCCTGTCAAGCTGCCAACTTCTCTACGGGTTAAAAGTGCTGCATTGGAAAGTTGGGGGTCACGCCTCGGAAAGTGTAAGCACCCACCTTCTAGTAAGCCTGAGATTTATTTCAGGGAACGCTATCTGTGTGTGTGTGTGCACGTGTGTGTGTGTCTTTATTCTTTTATGGTGATGGTGGGGTGAGGCGAGATTTTTTCTTTTTTTGATACTCCTTGAATCTTCATTGTTTTCCTTCCACAGAACAGGCTTGGACTTTCCAAACCCTTGCTGAGGAATGTGTGTGTCAAAGTCTGGCCCAGGCTGTCCCCATACCCAGTAGCCCAGACCACCCAGGCAGCCTTCTGGAGAAGTGCCCTGGCTGAGAGAGGGCAGTCTTTGTTGTGTAACAATTTGTACCTGAGTTGCATTTTCTCACCAAATCAGTGTGTTTTCATGAAGATATGGGTGTTCGTTGCACCAACGGTTCCTCTCTTGTCTTTAAGGGTCCCCCTTGTGTGGCTTGAGGTTTCTCTCTGAGAGTCTGGGTTTTCGTTTCTGGAATGGTTGGCCCTCCCCCACCTGCTGTGCCGTGGGGACACAGGTGAAGCAGTGTTTAATAGAGCAGTTTAGGAAGTTCCCTGTGTCACTCAGTTCACCTCACCTCCTTTGAGAAGCGTTCCTCCATTTTGGATCAGGGTTCTGTGGGCCGTGACTGTCCCCAAGCCCACTCCCAACAATGAGGAAACATCAGAGTTCTGTCAAGAGCAGCAGTTCTACTCTCCTCATCCTCTTTGGGCAAGTCCCACTCAGAATGGCTGTTTGATCAAAGTGGATTTGAAGTGGGTTGACTGGTCATTCTCATGCTATGTGCCCTGTTCTTTCTCCACGGAATCACGTCCCAGCCACCCAAGAACTGAGACCCTGTTCCCACTGTCACTTCACCCCTGAGTGTTCCTCACAAGAGCAGCAGCGACAGAAGCAGCGGACACTAGATCTACCCGCTGCTTCTCTGCCGGGAGGGATCACAAAACACATTTTTAGACAGCACTTTTCTCTCTCAGGCAGACCACTGCTCTGCACTAGGGGGCCTTGTAGAGCAACATCCAGTCTTCCTGCAGACCTGTGGTGTCTTCACCATCTTGACAACTTTGTGTAATTAAAACATCCTTCCCACTCAATAAAGAAAAAGGTCATTGGTGTGATCCCCAGAAATGCTAGAGAGCCGATTCCAGTTCTCACGTTTGTTTGAATCCCTTCCCCAGAGGAGAGGAGAGAAACCTTTCCTCCGGGAGAGTGTATTGCCTGCATTCCTCGAGTTGTAGCTATTTCCTTAGGAAAGGCCTGAAGCCTTCCTACTCAGGAATGAATTCATCCACAGTGTGGAAACAATGCCCTGTCTGGCCGGTGAAGTATTGTGGGAGTTCACCCACCAGGTGTTTGCCAAAACGTTGCCTGGGAAGAACTGGACTACCACCAGGAGTCATCTTCCTCTGACAGCTTCCCTCCTTCTTCAGTAAATCTTAGCTATCCTGAACATCTCTGTGGGGAGAAGTCTGTGGTAAAGCATTTGCTTCTCTGGCACAATATGATGCTATGGGAAAACGTGCAGGCACCCTGCAGCAGTGTGGTCCACTTTCTGTTCCCGCGCTGGATCTCAGAGTCACGTACACATTGGAAACTTGAGAAAGTTGTTATGGAGGACTGATCCGCCACAATCTTTGGGAAGCTGTCCTCACAAGCAATCACCTCTCTCCCGTGTTCCCATTGCCTTTCTTTGTTTCCTTTCCTGGGCTTCTCGCTGGGTCCTACCTTGAGCTTCTCTATCCAGCCACCAGAGTCAGAGTTTGGCTGTAGGCATCATATCAATGTCATGACAACCTTCTCAATTCACCAATTCATTTACTGCCAAGGCATGTCTCAGGAAAAACTCTGGAACCCCCTTATTCACTTTACCCTAAAGTCTTGAGCATTTAGTCCTGCTGGTTTTAGTTAAGAGAGGTATCTGGCAATTCTTTTCATAAGCCCCCTTGGGTGGAAAGATCTTACTAGCAAGCTGAAGCCATGTTTCTGTTTGAGGGGTGGGAGGAAAACAACAAATGAGATGAATGAATCAAATGTGGAAAAATGGTTTGTTAATGCCCGTAGCAGATCTACTGAGCACTGATATTGCTCTGTGAATTGAGCTTCCCTGCTTTTGGCCTTATTTTTCACCCAGGCCCCATGGCATTCCATCCCAGGGCAGCAACTGTGTCTATATAATGGGTCAGCCCTTGGAGTATTCCTGGAAAGGTCAAAAGGCAACATGCTCAAAATTCTGCAGAATATATTTATACATGGGTCTGAAATCTTATGTAACTGACTTATAGCCAAATCCGCTTGCCCTAATGGCCTCACAGGAAGTCTTGTTTAATAAAAAGCTTTTGATTTCCTAGTCAAGTCTTTATGGTTGTCTTGGGGTGCGTGTGGCCACTTCCTCTAATGAAAGGCTCTTTCAGTTCTAAACCTCTTTGCTGGGCTGGCCCCTGCTCTTCGGAATATTTGGAGACACTCTTTTCCTTAAAGGGAGCAAACTCGCACTCTATCCACGCTCTGCAGCATTGTGCCAGGCAACACGCAAACCTTTGTTCTCGTAACACCTGAAATCAGAACAGCACCAGCAGCCAGAGGGGTGGAGGGTGTGTTCTGTGGTGGCCGTGCTTAGCCAACGGCTGTTCTTGGGGCGGGAAGGGAGAAGTGAAAGTACTCAGCTGTCTAAAGCCAAAAAAGTGGGCATTTTAGTTATTTCCCACAGTATACAGCTTTGGGGAATTTGGGGTGTTTAATTTTTTAATTCCTAGTAACTTACCTCCTCCACGGGGCTGCGTGCAGTCAGCTGTGCTCACCCTCTGCTTCCTCCTCTGAGTATTCACTCACTTCTCAGGAAGCGTCGTGATGACTGTGGGCAGGGATGAGAGTCCCAGTACTCAGGGCTGGCCTCAGATCTTGGCCGTTCGGTGAGGGTGTTCAATTTACTAAGAGCACAGGCATGGAAACTCTCGGGAAAAATCTCCCAGATCTTTAAAATTCCTATTCTCCTCTTGGTCTCACCTCCTTCCTCATCTGCCCATCAACTTTATTTAGAAGGCCTCCGGTGCTCAGTGTTTGCTTTCCACCACACTTTGAGGATCTAACCTTTCCTTAAGTGACCCAGCGGCTCCATTGTTTTCTGAGTGACTGTGTTAGGCTTTTATGAGTCTATTTTCAGTAAGTTAGTGCTTCTGGGACACCTGAGAAAGCAGTGAGAGTCATTTTCTGTGCAGAGAACAACCGGGCTGACCCTCAAAGTTACCAGATCTAAGAAAATCGTGAAACAGTCTCTGGCCACAGGACAGAATTTTACATTAGGAACTTGGGTTTTTGAGGACTTAGAATTGCAGAGAAATGTTGCAGCCTGCACGCCATAGCCCACCTTGCTGAGCAGACTTTGGTTTTGTGTGGGCGATGTGGCTTCTGTGTGTATACTGGGATTTTTCAAAAGACACTAGCTGAGCAGCTGACTTGCCTCTTGTGTGAGCACCATGGGGCTCTATGTCACGTCTGAGGGCCAGTCTGCGAGTACTGCTCTTTGTAATCCGCGATGGTATCTGTGTAAATAGCTTTCATTTTTCCTCTGCGTGTTAGATGAAGTTTTGTTCATGTAGCGACCAGGTAGACAGTGACCAAATGAGGCTGTAAATGTGCTGTTGTTTCCTACCGTGATGTACTTGAAGGAGAACCTCGTGTCCTCCACTCTTCCAATCTTCCGGAGTACTCTGTGTTTGTTCTGGGAGTTCTGAGGTTACTCTTTCTCTCCTGTTTTGCCTCCATTTTGTTTGTTTCTTCTGGAGACCCTGGGAGGCCCCCAGTGGAGATCATTTGTAAGGAATGTATCATAAGGTGTGGGTTTCCAAAAATACCCTACGTACAGTGAATGAGAGGAATCTGCCTGAAAATGGTTTCAGAACTGTGTACCTTTATGTTTGTGATTGTGAAACCTTGACTTTTGTAACCCAAAAATGAAAACTGTTCAGTAAAGGGGATCTATTTTGTGTGTTTTGAAACTTAGGTGCAATGTTCCCTGGAAAAAGCTGAAGAAATGTATATGCTTGATGACATTTTAAAATAAAAAATATATATATGTATATAGGACACCTTTAGCAAAATTTCTGCGTGTCATTTCTTTTAATTCATTGTGAAGTGTCTTCATATCGGGTAGTGGAATGATATGAGTGTCATGGCCTGTGTGGAGTTATCAACTGTGAAAATCAAGAGGGAATGGATGCCAACACTATAAATCTTCACAGGACTAGCAGTAAAGGCCGTACAGCTCAACAATGCCTCTAGAAGAACCACCGTGGATATTATTCCCAAGAAGTTTTTTTTTTTAACTGAGATATAATTGACATACAACATTATATTAGTTTCAGGTGTACAACATAATGATTTGATATTTGTATATATTGCAAATGATCACCACAGTAAGTCTAGTTAACATCTGTCACCAAACATAGTTACAGAATTTTTTTTCCTTGTGATGAGAACTTTTAAGATCTATTCTCAGCAAATTTCAAATATGTAATACAGTATTATTAATGATAGTTGCCATGCTCTACATTACATCTCCATAACTTACTTTATAATTGGAAGTTTGTACCTTTTGACCCCTCTCACCCATTTCGCCCACCCCCACCAACCCCCTCTGGCAAGCACCAATCTGTTCTCTGTATCTGTGAGCTTCTTTGTTTAAGATTCCACGTATAAGTGAGATCATATGGTATTTGTCTGTCTCTGTCTGACTTATTTCACTTAGCATAATGCCCTCAGAGTCCATCCATGTTGTCACAAATGGCAGGATTTCCTTTTTTTTTTGGCCTAATAATATTCCATCTTGTGGCCTAATAATATTCCATATATGTATACCACATTTTCTTTATCCGTTCATCCGTTGATGGACATTTAGGTTGTTTCTATGTCTTGGCTATTGTAAACAATGCTGCAATGAACATGGGGGTGTATATATCTTTATGAGTTAGCATTTTTGTTTTCTTTGAATAAATACCCAGAAGTGGAATTGATGGATCATATGGCAGTTCTATTTTTCAACTTTTTGAGGAACCTCCATACTGTTTTCCATAGTGACTGCACCAATGTACATTCCCACCAGCAGTGCACAAGTGTTCCCTTTTCTCCACATCTGCACCAACACTTATTTGTCTTTTTTGATAATAGCCATTCTAACAGGTGTGAGGTGATACTGTGGTTTTGATTTACATTTCCCTGATGATTAGTGATATTGAGTATCTTTCCACATACCTGTTGGCCCATCTATATGTCTTTTTTGGAAAAATGTCTATTCAGATCCTCTGCCCATTTTTTAATCGGATAGTTTGTTGTTGTTGTTTTAAATTGAGTTGTATGAGTTCTTTATATATTTTGGATATTAACCCCTTATCAGATATATGATTTGCAAATATTTTCTCCCATTCAGTAGGTTGCCTTTTCATTTTGTTGATGGTTTCCTGTGCTGTGCAGAAGTTTTTACTTTGA